GACTAGAATATATTAAATGTTCTCATGTATGTAAAAACACCTAGAAGAGTGTCTGCACAAAATGGGTACTAAATAAATCCTCCCTCTTCTTTCTCCGTCTAGAATAAGTGGAGGAACAAAAGGGCGAGACTTGAGAGCCAGGTCCCACTCTGCAACTGTGCCTGAGACCTCTGTCATCTCACCGCTCTGGACTCCAGCTCCCTCGCCTCTCAAAAGGGCTGGACGAGAGGCTGCAAGATCTAGAATGTTCTACCTGATAGAAAATAAGATTCACAAGTGAAGTACTCGATATTGGGCACCCACTATACCAGCAGCCTCAGAGGCTGGGCACGCCTTTCATCAGGGTACTCATCTTCCTGGGGAGAGGGAAGCCATTAGTCAAAACTGTACTTTCACAAGTAAACCATCTTAGTCTTTAAATACAAGCCAGAGGAGAGTTCAGACATCACACATTTTTTGTGCACTGTTATTTTTTTTCTCCTGTTGTTCAGGAAGTCTGAAACTCCTTCAAATTATACAAGAAGCAATGGTGGGTTTCTGAAATTTCTAGAAATGTCTGAGAAAGTACTCTGATAGGTGATGTCTTTGTGGACCACTACTCGTTACTACATTCATTTAGTACTTTTTAGCCATCTACCCAGCGGTCTCGATTACCCCAGGCTTTTCTCAGAATGACTCTCATAGGTATGCTCACCTCAGTCCCACCACTTTTGTGGGCAACCAAAAGCCCATACAGTAAATACCAAAACACAACAGTCATCTAAACAAGGCAGAAATAGAACAACACCTTAACTGCAGAGCAGCAGGGCAAAGAAGGCCCTTCTGCCTTTCCCCTACAGATCTGTTCACTTAATTTTTTTCCTTCTTTGTGACCCCAGAATTTACACCTTGGCTATTTCAAATTGGCCGAGATGGTGTAAGAACATTATAGAAAGCAGTTCGTGGCTTTGGGCTGAGGTAGACCGTTAAGCACTCTCTAGAGTTTGAAAGGACCTTACAGAACATCTAGGCCAACCCCTTCCTTTTACCCATGAGGAAAGAAGGGCTCAGAGAGGTCACTCGACTTACACAAGTCACGAGGGAAATTAGTGATGAAGCAGTGATGGGGTCATTTGACTCCCAATAGACAAGCTAAGTGCTTGAAGTGGGGGAAGAGAAAGGGCGAAAAAATAAGGCAGGGTCTTAAGATTTCATTCCCAGTGACCTTAAGGGGGTGGTGGAAGAGAACACGGTCTTACATAGTCTAAGAGACAACACGTGTTGGCTTCAAGCCTCCAGTAAAGAGAAGATTGCACCAACTCTTCAAATATTTGGTTCTTTTGTGGGGACTTTTCCCCCGCCTGCTTTTGTATTAAGCCAGTACACCTAATATCTCATTGGAGATTTCCTATATGAAGAAAGCATAATGGTTCATCTTCTTTAGGGCATTTCCATTTGTTCGTGGGAAATGATAACTTAAACATGGAATAATTATGAACAAATTGACCAACATTTTTCTGGGTGTGAAGATTATTGCACCAAGATTTAAGTAATCATACGTCCTTAACATAAATAAAATAAGTAACATGCATACAATTTTTCAACTCTTCTGCAAGATTTTTTGTGAAGTAACACTTAGGAATACATGGAATATGAGACATTTTCAACTGCTGTTTTAGATTTCTAATTTGTGTTCTAGTTTGTATCATCAAACAAATGGAAATAGCATCTAAATATTTTCCAATTAACAAATATAATTTTAATATTTTATATAATTGAGCCTCGTTCATATGAAAGAATTCCAAAGTTCTTTTGAAGGCATAACTTAGATGCAAAGGTGCGTTTTAAAAGTTATGACATTCATGGTTTGACCGTAGTTTAGGAATGAAATAACAGTCACAGTAGTTGGTGATCAAAGGCTTATTTTTTGCCAACATTCTCAGTAAATATTAACAACACACAGAGACATCCTGTGGTGTTAATCATGAGATTTACCTGGTTAAATTTCTCTGAGTTGGAATGTGTTAAGCCTTCCTTACTTTGAAACGTTCACAATTTTTACCAGGGCTTTGTCCTGGACTAACTAGGCTGGATTTTTTTTCTTCATCTTTAATTGATTTAGGGTGGATTCTACATCTGGATACCCATATCCCCAAAGTGTCTGGTTCTGAAATAAAAATGAAAGTTGGAAGGTATTGGAATGGAATGGAGGGGCCGCTTAATTGCCTCAGGGAGTCTTCTAACCAATTTTCATTTGCCTCTTCGGTGTCCTTGGATAAAGGAGAACGGAGAGAGGATGCGAAAAAGAAAGCGAAGGAATGTTCACGAAGTCACGTGGAAAAAGCAATGCGAAAGTAGATTACCGAATTTAGAGAAATTTCACCATAGGCAACGTTGAAATTCTTTGTGACAACAGTGTGATAACCATTGTGTACTGTGGCTTCACGATTTTATTTCTTAATCGCGATAAGTACAAAAATATCTACCTCCTCCACATTGTGTTCCAAACACACGGGCAAAGTTATACAGGGATCTGAGTATCAAAAACCTAAGAGACTCAACAACTTTGGAGATATCGTAAGATAATGTATACACAGGTCATCGAGTTAGAGATTAGGTGCTCTGTTGCGCTTGTTTTTTGCTTTGAGGAAATAACGTTCCGTGCATAATAATGGCTTAAAACTGGTAAACAAGCCTGGAGACCGCGCAATGGCTGTGTGCAGCTCACGTCGCCACAGCTCGAGGAGAGAAAATACGCATTCTCCCTCTAAACAGGGGCCGCCCGGAAGTCCTGCGGGAGGGGGGCGGAGGACCGATCCTCGCCCCCTCCTGGGCGTCTGAGCGAGGCCGCAGGGTCTGGGACTCGCGTGGGAGGGGCGCAGCCGCGGGCCTCTTGCAGAGGGCCACGACCCCGCGGTGGGCGCAGCGCCAGGGCTGGCTGCAGAAGGGGATCCGCAAAGAGGACCCGCACTCCGGGCACTTCTGCGGGGGCGCGCTCTGCGCTTCGGCAGTGCAGGAGCTGGTGACCCCGTCGTGGGGAAGGGCGCACGGGTTGGGTCTCCGGCGCTGTAAGTCCACTTGGGATGGGACTATCCCCCTCGGGGACTTGGGACAGACTGTGCTGAAGGAGTGAGAAGTGATGACTTGGGTGTGTGAGACCCAGGGGTAGAGCCAAGGAGAGTGCTCTGGGGTCCACATTTTGGATTCCTCCGAGCCGCAGTGCATCCATCGGAAACAAAGGGAGGCAGTTCTGGGGTGCAGGTGAGAGAGTTAATGTGCAGGGACGGGGTGCGGTTGGTTTGAGGAGTCTCTGCATTCAGTGACCTTCAGATCAAAGAGCTCAGGGCTCCAGCATGGTGTCCCCAAAGGGAGAGAACTGGGAAGCTGGAGAGGATGCAGACTCGGGCTGGAGTTGGAAGTGTGTGAGTCGCTTGATCTTTCTGGGTCTCAGGTGACACCTCAAATGAAGGTGTGGCAGGATGGAGGAAGGCGTTTTATTCCTCGCAAAGCGCTCTCCAAGATGTGAGGAAATACGATTTCCCCAGACGGGACGTGCGCGGGGTCTCACTGCTGCCGACGCCCGCCCAGGATCCCCGAGCTCGGCCCGCCGTTTCCGTGGAGGGGCGCTCACGACCTCGGGGTTTTTCCGGGCAAGTTCCTCCTGCAGTTCTTCTAGACCAGCTCGGGCCCCGCCGTCGGGGAGGGAACCCCCTGGGCAGGACCCCCGCCCGTCCCGCGCGCGGTCTGACTCTGCCCCCCTGACTCCATCTCCAGATCCCTGCCCTGTACCCCTCCCTTCGGAGCGTCCACTTCTCCGGGGACCTCACTTGCCGGAGCTCCTCTGTCCTCGAGGACGTGCTGGGGTGGCAGGGCGCGGGAGGGTGGGTGGAGCTGCGAACGCGCAGGAGCCTCGGGGACCGTGCAGCCTCCTGACACCCCGGGCCTGGGGAGGGGTACGGCGAGACGGCTTCTTGGGAAAGAGATGGACACGGAACTGGAAGACTTGGGGAATATTACCCCCTGTGGCAACAGAGCAAAAACCGTAACTTAACGTGCCCGTTCTCTTTTTCCCTGGGAAATAAATTCCAGCCCCCACCCAGCATCTCCTAGCTCCTCATTACAGCGAAGCCCACCTTCGGAAGTTCTCCGTCTTGCCCATTAGGACATCGCCAGCTTTTCCGCATTGGGGACATTTCGTTCAGTCTCTGCCCAGCCCTTGCGCCTGAGGCTCGGGGAGCTGCTCTTTTTCCACCCCCCCCTCCCAACGCTCTGGGCAAAGTGCCCCCGGACCCGCACACGCCGGCTAGAAACCCTGCCCTGCGCCGGGCTGCGCTGCCTCCTATTTCCACTCCGACAGTCGCCGAGGGCCACGTTTTTCTCGTGCAGGAGTCTCTTCCCGCCCTACAATAGCCGACCCGGGCCAGGTGCCCTCTTTGGGCGCCCAGGCCTGGTCATTGCTCCAGGAGACGCGTGGCGACCCTTGTTACCCGCGTCCAGCCCGGGCCCGGCAGACCGCAGCTGCAAGCTCGCCGGAGCGGCCTCAACTTAATTTCCTCCCCCTTGGGGCACGTTTCCCTGGAAAACCTCTTCCCGGCCCCCTCCCACCATCCCTAAGGGGCCAGGAAATGTTTGAATCTCCATAGAAAAGGCCCCATATAAGTGCAGGGTGGGGCGCAGTGGGCGGGGCAGAGGTGGCGAAGAGGATTGAATTTCTCTCTGCTCCCAACGATCCATCGGCGGATAAAGCGCAAGTTTGTGCACTTCGTCGACAGGGGGATTGCAAACCGAGAAAACAAAAAGTGTCCGCTGAGATGCGCCGTTTGTCCAGACTTCCTTGCAGATGGGTTTGCGGAAACGCCTGTGATGTGAACTTTCTGCAGATTGTGTATGGAGGGAGCTAAGGGAAAGGAGGAAGGGGAGCGGGGCGGGGAGCGGGCGATGTGAGCGTGAAATGTGCCTGTGTGTGTGTGTGTGTGTGTTTGGGGAGGGGGTTGTGTGCCAGGAGCGGGGGCGTCACAGCGGGGGCAGAGGCAGGAGTCGCGAACGCCCGGCAGGCTAATTGGCTTAAGACATTCTGCAAGCGCTGGAAAAGGTCGTTGAAGGAGTTCGCTGCACACACACAAAATAATAATCTTAAAAAAGAGTGCCGGGCATGCGCACAGAGAGGATGCCATATTGGAAGGAGGCTGTAGTGGGAGTCGGAGGACCGGGGCGGGCGCGCGAGGGAGGCGGCGGGCGGGGAGCGAGCGAGGCAGAGCGAGCGGGAGCCAGGCAGAGCGGGCGAGGGAGGCCGGCGTGCCCCCCGGCGGCGCCCGGGGCCTTGGTCCACGCCGAGGGGAGGACGAACTTCACCAGGTAGGACGCCGCGCCGGCCCCTGTCCCCGCGCCCGGCCCGCAGGTTGAGTGCACCGGTCAGCTTCTTTTTTCCAGCTTAGGGAAAAAGGGGAGCTCCAGCAAGCCGGGGGTGGGGCGCTGGAGGGGCGTGGGTGCCGAGGGAGAGGAGCAAAAGAGAAGGGCAGGAGGAGGAAGCGACAGCAGTTGAGCACAGCCTCAAACTCCGCTCTGCGCTCCGGGTTGTCATTTTTGCTTCCCCTGTCGCCTTCCCCCGCGTCTCTAAGCCGGGCCTTGGGGGAGTCCGTCCGTAGTTGCAAAGTGTCCTCCTTCCCGGGTGCAAGCTGTCCCCTCCCGCGCCCACCTTCCTCATTTGTGCGCTCATTTTAGCGACGTAGCCGCCCTTGCTACCCCGCGCTCCGCGGTCTCCTCCTGGCTGGGGTCTCTTTCTTCTTCTTCTTTTTTGGTGTGTGTGTGTGTATGTGTGTTGGGGGCGAGGGTGGGGGGTGGGGGAGAGAAGATGGTGGGATGAGGACTGGAGACCAACCATCATGGGGCTTAAAAATCGTGTAGACCTTCGGAATCGCCCCCTTGGAAACATTTGCCTGTGCAGCTGAAATGAAATTGTCAGTAGTAGTTTTCGGAGCGTGCTCTGGCGTGGATGATCTTTTTGTTCTTTTTTTTTTTTTTTGCTTTAAAGTAATATCCTGTCACTTGGGGCTTTCCTGTTGTCTACTCTCATATGACCTCATTTCAAAATTACTAATCTGATCTGGTTTTGGAGTTTATTTTTTAGTGTGTGTGTGTTGGTAAAATCCGCCGGGAAAAAAAGAACTGTAGCAACTGCTAGATATATTTATTGATTTTGACCCGGGGCGGCGGAAGGAGGTGAACCGGGAAAGGGGGAGCCTTGGGGGTGGGAAGTGGTTGATTCGCGGTGGCCGGACGCACGTCCAGAGCCCGACCCGTACTTGTGTTTTCTTGGAAGCGCTACAACTGCGGGGAAGGAGTATTTAGAAACCGTGCCAGTTTCAATATGGCGGGCGAGGGTGGCTTTTAAAAACTGAAAATAAAGGTTTTGAGGTGGGAAAAAACCCAACCGGAGTTGCCATCCCTTAATTTCGACTCTCTTTGGCTACTCCAGGAGCCGCTTTAGCGAATTAAGTGGGAAAAAAGAGAGGGAATGCGCTGCCCTAGTTTTTTCCGTGGGTAGAGTCTGCGTGTCCAGTCCATTCCTAGAGGGGAGAGGGTGCCGCTGGCCCGGACTGGGGCATCCCAGCACAACTGCTGTGTGTGCATTTGGATCAGTGTGCATACCTGTGCGTGCAGTTTGTGTGTGGGTGGGTGGGTGTCAAAGATCCGCCCCGAATGTGTGCGTGCGTCTTGGAACCAGCCCCTGCCATGATTTGACGTGACAAACTGCTGACACGTGGTGCAAAATACATGAGGGCAGAGAGAATGATTTATTTCGGCTCTCTGTGAGAGGAGCTCTCTCCGTGCTGGATCGTGCGGGTAAAGCCCAGAGTAGGTGGAGCGAGGAGGTGCTTATTAAAAGGACTAACTGTCCAGGGAATGGGGTGCAATCGGGCTGCAGACGCCTGTGGGGTTTTGTGTGTGCAGGGGACACGCTGCACTTACCCGCGGACCCCTGCTACCGTTCGCGCCGCGGCGGGGTGGGAGGGGGGGGCCCGCGGCCGAGGGTGGGGAGGGTGAAAGTGGAGCGGCAGGAGGGCGGGGGCGCGCGGACCTCGGCCGAAAAAGTGTGCGGGGTCGAGGCGAAGAGTTGCTTTTAGAGTTGCGCTCTAGGGAAGGTGGGGGATGGGGAAAGCGTTCTCGGAAGAAAATGTCCCTTGCTCGGGTCGAGCTCCGAGAGGGCTGGATCTGGGAGGGTGTCCTCCGGCCGGGGCGGGAGAGCAGGGGGGCGGGTGTCGCCTTCGGGTTTGAGTGGGCGGTGAGGTGCTGGGGAAAGGCCGGCACCTGGGGGGTCTGGGAGTGGAGTTTGGGGGCCAAGTTGGAGCCTGTAAGGGGAGCCCCAGGGAAAGCAAGCAAACCCGAGCTCGCTTAGCTGGGAACAAGGGTCCCCGATAGGGGTCGCCAGTGGCCTGGACGCAGCTGCCGAACGGAGGTCGCGCGGCGGTGCTAGCGGGAGGGACCCAGGGGACGGGGGCCATGCGGCTGCCGTGCGCGGTTCCCGGAGCCCAGCGAGGGCAGGTCCGGGGGACCTTCTCGGGGCCGGTGAACCTGGTGGCGCATCTGCCAAGTGCGCCGAGACGTTTTTAAATCACAGGGTTTAAAAGATAGTATTGGCCAGCTCAGTAGTTACCGCAGTAACGTGGTCTCTGGGCATTTGCAGGGGCCCAGCGGGTCGGCTCGTCCTCTCCACTTAGGCGGACGCCGCTCTGTCGGAGAGGCCTGTGCCTCGCTGTGTCCCGTGGGTGCGGGTCAGGGGGAAGCATCACTAGGATTGGAGACCCCATGGCAGATTTTCCTCCCACCTGGGCGGCGGGGCTGAGTGATCTGCGACACTCGGGCCAAGACGTGTTCGCCCCCCGGGCGGAGCGCGCGGCGCGTCCCCGGCGCTTCCATCCTGCGCTTCCCGCGCGTCCTCCCGGGGACGGCTCTCCCGTGGGCTTCGCTCAAGTGGAAACCAGCCTAAAATGGCTCTATGCTTGTAAACTGCTGTTTCAGCCGGGAACCCCTCCCCTCGTCTTCCTGACGTCGCCGCGGACAAGCGCACAATTCACTCCAACGCCCCAAACCCGCGATTTTGCACCGAGCTGTGCCGTGGAAGCGAATATACAACCGATTACAAAGAACATTCTACACGATTCTCGCAGGGCCCAACTTTCCCTTTCTTGCGGGGAGGAGCGGGAGGAACCGAGACCCGGCAGGAGCCCGGCCGACCACCGCCCCAGAACCGGAGCGGGGAAAGGGGCAGTCGGGGCGCCCCAGCGGCCCGGGGCTGGGGACCATGACGCGTAAAAAACCGGGGGAGGTGCCCCGGGGGCGCGCAGGGCGGCGTGCGGAGGGATCGCCACTCCCACGGGTCCTCGTCCTTGATGGCATTTGTGGTGTGGGGGGTTCTGAAGACGACGCCGGGAAGCCTGGGAGCCCGTTCTCAAACTTCTGGAGACCTGCTTGCAGTTTCGCTTTCGGAATTTTCGGGATCTTGGGGTTTCTGGAGTTGGTGGGATTCCGGGAAGGGCAGGGCGCCAGGGGCTGGCCGGGCGGAGACTCTTCCCCTTTCGGTGCGGTAGCCAGACTTCTTCTTCCCGGGCGCCCCCTGCTTTGCCTCCCTGGACCCCGCGGGAGCGGTGGAGGGTCCGGGGCTCCCGGCCCCGCGCGCGGTCCCCGCTCCGGAGCGCGCCGTCCCCGCGCCGTGTCTGGTCGGCTCCTGCGGCGCAGCCGCGGCGGCTCCGCGCCGGCTGGTGGGAAACCGCTTTCGAGGAGGGCAGACCCTGCCGGAATCCGGATCCATCGCCGCTGCCCTCCGCTTGCCCTCACTCCTCCACCCTTGCACCGTAGCCGAGGGGCCTGGGGGACCGATTGGCGTGTCTACACCAAGCAAATGGATCCAGGTTTCACCAGGTTGGAGAAAACTCGAAAACAGGCTTAAATTCGACCCCATTTCCTGGGGAGGCTGTTGGGAGTAGGGGGGTGGATTGAGCGAGTAAAGGGGGGGGAGGGCAGAGGCCTTGGTCAGAAGGAATTGTTGGCCAGGCTCGCTTTGGAGATAGGAGATCTGCTACTTTCTCCCTGCTGAACATTAAATTAGCACACACTCCGCTTCCTCCCTTCCATAAATAAATACCGTCTCAGATCTTTTTGTGAGCTCGTTGCTGGGGCCAAGCCGCCTGCCCGAAAGCGGGGGAGGGGACACACCCATGCACACCAGAGATACCGCAGTCCCTATCAGAGATTTTACTGTGCGCGGGACCCGTTCCCGGGCCGGTGTAAACCACTGCCCAGTGGCCGGGGGATTCAGCAGCCTACCCTAGAGAAGAGTTCGATCAACCAGCCTGTTTTGATGTGTGTTTTTCTAGAAGCGCCAGCTGAGACCTACAGGCTGAGAACTGAGTAGTTCCCATTTCCCATTAGGATACCGGGCGCCTGGAACCTCCAACAGGCCATCCCGCTGGGACCTGAATGTCACTAATGATGGAAGTAATTGATAGGGGAGAGCTTTTCCTCTTCAGTTTTTCTTGCGGAAATTATGGACTAATTTTTCTTTTAAACCTTGCTAGGTGTAACTAACTAGCTTCTTGATTTCTGACTTAAAAAAAACAAGCCAGAAGAGGTTCCTGAAGAAAGAGAAAAGCCTTGGTGACCCCAGGATGGGCCTCTTTTCTTTTTGTCATTAGGCCTTCCTTTGCTGTCCCAGGAGTATTGAACGTTTCCCAAATCCCATTTCTGCCCAGTCTAGCTGAGGTGGCATTTTTCCCCTTTCTCTAGATGCCAGTGCCCCCAAAGGACTTGCCAAATCACACACACACACAAAAAATGCTGGCAGATGGAAACATTGCTCTGAGCAATAAGTGAATGACCGTTCCACTTAAAGAGGGCTTTGGGGATTTAAGAAGCCTATGCAGTGAAAATGCAGACTGTGGGGCCTACACTTAAGTCTAAAAGTTCTTGTCAGGTTATCAAAGTAATAGAATTTTTAAAAAAAAATAATTTGAACAGAAATGGTCTACTGTAGGATTTGCATTACCTCCAGTTCTAGTATTCTAGTTTGGACAACATTTCTCTCTTAGTATTACACTGTTTCGAACTTCTGGAGTTCATGTAAGTGTAGTGGTCATTGAGAAGAACTTGTAAAAGGTTCTTGTACCAAAACGAAATTAGGATCTGTAATTCGAGACACATTTTGTGTTTTTTCTAACTATTCTTATATCTCCATTGCCCTGGTAGCAACTTATTCTTCCCATTCTCCAAATAAGAACAAAGGAAATAATGGAAATTGTCCTTGTCACAACAAACCAGAAAGTCAACCTGTGTATTTAGTGCGGTGATCCAGGATCTGT